TGGAAGAATTTGACTAACAATTAGCCACTTATAGATGAAGTGGGGATCCTTGCACCCCAAGGTTTTTGTCGTGGCGTTGGAGAGCGACATGTTCCAAATTTCCATCTTCTTCGTGACACTGGCACAGTCTGCGCTGTCAATGTTACAAACATTGTGTTTCCGCCTGGGTCATACTGCTTCTATAGAACTACCAAAGTCTGTCCGCCAGGTACAATTCAGTAACATGCAAATTACATATATGTATAGATTTATTTATATCAAATGGCAGGCTTTATGATAGTTATCATTAGCCCTTTAGTTGACTTCAGGTTTCACAGAGGAAGAGGAACATCAAATCGAAAAAAGTCTAGGGGGGGGGGAGTGAACAAAAGAGTGTTTAAAGATGTTAAAAAAACAGACACGAAGGCAGAGAAAAGGTAGGATAAGTATGGTGGAAGTGATCGAATATGACATACAGTGGAGTGATGGTAGTATGAAGTGAGAAGTCAACTGCCGATAAATAGACATTTTTGTGAAGTGAGAAGTCAACTGCCGATAAATAGACATTTTGCCGTATGAGTATACGTTGCCCAGGGTGCACCACGTGGAGGTAGGTCTATCGCACACCCCTATATGTATAGATAAATCAATAATTAAATGAAGCGTGACTTCTCTACAGTGATTTTACTCCAGATTTCGTTTCTTTCCTCAAACTTGCTTATAATGAATTTCATTTAAAATAGAGAAAATGGGATAGTTAAGCCTTACTCCTAGCCATAACATAGTACGATGGCGGCTGAATATCTTCGTCAAAAGAAAACCCAGAGAATACAGCATCATTGCGCTTAGTAACCAGTAAATTTTATTTAGCCATTAGGGCTTTGTTTGAAAATGAGGGTTAAACAGCTTAATGGTTGAACGAGGTGGGTAAATTTATTAAAGCGCTAATTGGTTTAACTTAATAATTATGCGAAGATTGGAGGTAAAGTCAGTAAGGAGCTTCATTAAGCCTTTCTGAGAATCTCATATCCTTTTACCATGATTTAGCAGTGTAATTAGTTGTCCTACTTACAGGACGTGAGATTAAAGCATCGAATCGGTCAGACAATCTTATTCCATTGAACACCAAAGATTGGGGGATGGGGTGGGGTGGGGTGAATGGAGGTGGTGGGGGTGGGTTTATTTATACCTCTTTTCAGTTTAGTGGGTTACTTATAATCTCCGCTAGCACCTCATTATTTCCGTGTCGTATAAATATTTACACTACGTTTTGTGATTTGAATTTCATCTGTACTCGTCCTAAATCTTTGCCTATGTGTCACTTGTAGGTATTGCGAAGCTGCAAACAAGCGTGTATGAGGGACTGATTCGTTCCTTCCTTCTTCAAACAAGCCTCCTCCCACTACCAATTCTCAATGAGGAAATGGAATTCTGTTGTCAATCGGAGGAATCTCTGGGGGCAGTTCAATTGCCACTTAATATTACAGCGCCATTCGCTTTGCCACCTCTCCAAGGATTCTGCCAGAGTTTTGCTGGCTTCACTGTAGATTTGGAGAAAGGATTCTGCGAGTATGCGCCCATTACAGGTTCGCTTCATTTCAAGATAGCTTTTAGGCCAACAAGTGGGTTTAGAGTGAAGAGAATCGAAGTAAAATTTCTTCGCAGAAATGCTATGCGGTCATTTGTTTTAACTACTAGGTTATGATGTATATATTTAAAAATTCACGTCAGCAAAAATCAAGATTTTCCGGTCTTTAGAATTGAAAACTTTCGCAGGTTAGGCATCATAGCTCCAATTGAAGAAAGTGAGATGGCTTCTTTCGCAATTCCATATTTCCTGTTCAGCTTCACTACTTATGACCTCTCAGTTCTTTAACAACATTTAAAGCTCACAGATTATCAAGTCCATTGGATCAACAAAGGAGGGTTAATGTTCGTATTACGATTGAGCTTGCAATTTTCGTCGATTTGCCCTTAGAGTCTTTAAGGCACCTGTGGAGGCCATTTAAGTTGAAATCAATTTCAAAGATTATTAAGGGACTATTACATTGGATTTCATGAACGAAAATTTGAACTCGCTTTTTGATGGTAGATATAAATAAACATTTTAAACATTTTGTTAGTTTAATGAATGGGGTAGTTGTGTCATCCTCATCCTCCTCTCTGTAGACTTGGTATTACAGCGTTTTATCCAACTTCTATTTTTTCTACTTGTCTTTTATTCCTACTACAGACACTAACATACTCTTGCCACAAATTGCTCTAAAGTTTAGAAAAGATTTCGCTTTTATGGAGGCGTCAGTGGAGATGGAAATTGTTGTTAGAAGCCTATCTTTCATATTGTTGACCCCACTAACTCTCCATTATTCTGTCCCTAACATTGAATGGAACGTCTCATTTTGATATGACCTTCATTCGATTGCCTTGAAATCAATTGGTGCAAAATTTGGCCAGGAAGACTTAGAAACAGCACTTGACCGAGTTGAATAAGTGGCCTATTTGAGAGCTAAACAAAATTGCGTCTCGGTTATGGTGTTAAAAAGCGTCCGTATTGATCGATTGATAAACGTCAAGTGATAATATTGTCTACCTTTGGTGTCTAGACTAAAGGCTAAGATGTCACGTGACGAAATATCTCAGCATTGAAAAGGGGTCATTGGAACAACCAGCGAAATGCAATTTGACAATCCCCTAGACAAAGCATATCCAGTGTAGTTTGACAGGGGAGCCCGATTTGAATGGGGGCAGCTCAATGCCCTATTGCTAGGGCCTATGTCTAAATTATGCTGATTGTGGTTAGGCTTTTTTGTTAACATAATTTTGCTCAAATTTCAGAACAACCGGAGTCGATCCTGGTTTGGCCACGTCGAGTTTTCCCCAGCAATCTTCGAGGCAAAACTGAAATTGTTCTTACTTGCAGCGAATCCTCGTCTCTTAATTCAAGTAATTTCCTTTTCAGCTATTGTGTTTGCGCTATTGAGAATAGGCGGTTAACTTGAATTGATCTTGGTAAACGGTGAAGTAAGAAATATTGAATGGATATTTCAGCTTTAATTACTGAACTGATTGCTATATACTAACTTGTCCAATACAACTTCTTAAATAAGTGGATTATTATTATGTTTGAATTTGACGCTGCAACTCAGGTGGGTGGACGGAGCAGATCACAATATCCTATTGTTTGCATAATCACCTATATCAATATCGATTTACACAAAATTAATACGATTCGGTGCAGACAGAAGTTGGGGTAAGTACGGCAGGTCAGGCTACGTAGCTTAGTTGCAACCTGATTACGAATGGAAAGGTTGTAATCAAACATTTATCCGTGTTAATCGATAATTTTTTTTATCCTAACCTATCAAGCAACTTAACATAATTGATAGAAAAAATAATGAGGCAACCGACCACTGCGGCAGACTAAAGCACACAATATGATATTTCTTTAAAATTATAATTTATCAACAAGGACTTCATCTCTGTCACTACCGAACTAAGTCGGAGAAGTCAATGGGTTCTGTCCAAGCACACGCTTAAATTTAAACGTCTTCTTATAAAGATAGGCATAGTTATTTCTTTCCATCGATTTAGCTGTTGAGTGTTTGATAACTGGTGGATGAGTTATGTTTTGAGTAAGAAACCACTCCGTTACTACTGGAGTATTGGTTACTTTCAGGAAGGTCTTAACTTCACCTTTACCTCTATACCTACAAATTCGATTCTCGAACCATTAAGACGTAACTCAATCCACTTTAGATTCAAGAGTACGGAACTACATGATGCGTCATCGACAAGTTTGGTTGAATCCCACGCCAATGCAAGACTTTTCGTCTAATGATGCAATGGAACTGTGTTTTAACGAGGTACCAGGAAGTGAAGTGCCTACCAGATCGGAAAGTGGTTATTTGGATTACTGTATCATTGCTTTCGGAACTTGTCCAAATGAAGGTAGGGTGACTTATGCGAAGAAGAATAAAAAATTTCCATCAGTTCATATGCTTTAATTTTGCAGATTTCGAGTTGGTTTCTGCCTTTCCATATCAGCAATATATAGTCTGCTGTATTAAACAGACGTCAACCACTCCAGTCGTAGGAGATTTGAACAAGAACGTCTCAACCTGGCCAGAAAAAGTCCGTTCAATCGTGACTCTGGGCAGAAAGTGTTCAGGAGATGAGGATAAGGTCAAGGATCTTGCTGCCCCAACGGAGCTTCACCGAGATCTTAAACAACCCGAAACTGATGAAGGATGCCCATACTTTCAAGAGTTTTCTCTTATTCGACGATTTGTCAAAATGTGGCGACCTAAACGCTACAAAACAATGTTCACTAGACCATCTATTTTCAGTCTTTTGAATGTCACGGAGAAAGGTAATAGTAGTAAGGATGCATTCGCCAAAAGGACAGGAATGTGGCTTCAGAATGGTATCCTACATGTAATCTTTTGCGAATACCAAACTAATAGGCCTGCTGAACCTAGTACTGGTGTTGGTAAGTTGAACAGACCGCATTTTCTAGTCTCTACGTTATATTGTCTAACTTTGACTGAATTTTAGCTTGGCCAATTGATAATTATGCCATTCCTCAACCGGTGACGGGTTGTCCACCAGATTTTATTTCAACATCGTTCCTTCATCTGCAAGGCCTAAACGGGTTCCACTATTCACAGGTGGGTTTCTACAGAAGTGTATTAGTAACACACGTAATAAGTTCAAAGTGCTGATTTTTTGCCTTTCAGCCGATACACCTTGCTGGTAACTTTATTGCTCATTCAAGAGCAGCAAAATTGAGCTACTGTCATAGAGAAGTTGATCAATCACCGAATCAATGGAGCAAGCAGCAAACAACAACCCTTCCTCCTGGACATTACTGCGTTCTTCTTGTTGGCCGAAGATGCCCAGCTGGTAACTACTTGTTTACTTACGTAGAATTAGATTAATTGGGTCAATTAATTTTTAGGCTTTTCTGCTGGAAGCGTCTCAGTATTTGAAGGGCTTTTAAAGCCAAATGAAACAGAGAGTGGCTATGATGCTCAGCTTTCTGAAGCCTCTAATTTGCCAACGAGTGTTAACTCTACCGCCCACAGTGCTCCTCAAATCTTGCGAGACAAAGTGGAGAAGGCGGAGACGGGTTTATCTTTCGATCGAGTCACCTACATGTTCTGTTGTCGAGCTGATTCTCCTTCGGCATCAATTCCCATTGCAGGTTTTCCTAATGACACTGGTCCCTTTTACCTCTATCGGTGTGATTCGATAACTCAAACTCATTACTAGCATGCTTTTTAATTGGTTGATAACTTTAATTTGATATTTTTACATCTTCAGAGCAGGGGAAATGTGTCAAGAAGTAGCGGGAATGCGCGTCACGGAGGAATTTATTTGTATGGACGCCCCAGAATTCCTCTTAGGGAACAATCCCTCCTTGTCCATGCAGTGGGAGGTTGTAGACAAAACTTATCAAATCGAGGGCTTTACTCCAACTCTCTCGATGTATTCCGAACACTGTAATGTAAAGATTAATCTCTGTTACTATGAAACGAGTAAGTTAATTAGCTCTTGTTAGCTAAGAGAATATATAGACATACCGATATCGCGTATCTTCTTTTAGCCATTCCTGATCCTGAACCAGAGACCCAAGGTAAGAATGGAGTTCAATTTTGTGCATTTAAGATCAGTGCGAATCCCATATTTTAATTTGCTTTCAAATTTTAATGAAGAACAAAACAATGGAACAGCATGGCCAGCTGGTTCTTATTCCCTCCTCACTACGATTCGCCAAGATGGTATACTGGCTTGTCCACCTGGATTCAATCTGGCTATTCGTTACAACATTCCTCCCAAAGTAATTGCAAACACCTTCTTCCGTCCACTATCCTTCTCCGAATACTTTACTCAGAGACCAAGAGTACCAGATGACCTCCTGGCTATGGTCAATGGAACCTGGTTATCGACGCTGCACACGTGTGAGAGGAATGAAAGCGATGTGCCATTGAGCTATAATCTCACCAACTTTCCTGATTGGCCGCCGGGAAATTACTGCGTTCTAATGGATACTCATACAAGAAATTGTCCACCGGGTATGAGTGTAATTACTGCTGCGCATTATGTTTAGGAGTGTTGAAGTGTTAGCAGTAGAAAGGTTACCGAACTAGTGAGTGCCAGTGTGAGGTACCCATATAGACGGATTTCTTTGTAATTAAAAGGAAATACAAATATTGTCAAAGAGGTATTACGTCTTGGGTAGATCACATCTTGGAATATGGCATTAATCATAAATTTTGGTTTTATGACGTACAGAGTCTAATTGTCGACAGCAGGAAATCAAAAGCATACTTAGGTAGCTGTGTCTCCAAATGAAAATAAGTAGTATTTAGAGTCTGAGCGTGCCTTGACACGCTTTATTTCCTCATATCTAATGGAACATTGACTTGAATTTACCCCTTCAAATTATCTTATTGCCCGCATAGAAACGCGTTCGGTGTTAAAAAGAGGCTTGGAAAAGTGCACGTCACGACTTGCATATAGACCAATGCGTGATGTGGGAATATCGATATTTAAAAAAACGTTATATTTGTTATTTCTAATTGCTGAGGCAGTTCCTACTTTCTCCTATGTACTGATTTTCAATTAGCGTTAGGATTTTATTAGTTGAATGCTCTATAAAAAACCAATTGAAAACTTTGGTATCCAATACCAAAACCCATGAATTTGATAGCTATTTTTCTTCGTTGTTCTAATTTCAACCTTGCCTTCTTGTTCTCAGCGTTGATTACTCTTTACTCAAGACCACCTTCAAACATATCTTCTTTCTGAATCTTTATTTGACCACATTTTCCAACCTTGCTTATTGAGTAAACCTATTTCATTGGTCACACATCAGTTGCTAATTACAGACACACTCAATATATTGTAATTTATTATCAACATTAATAAAAGGTGTGTGCGTTGTTAATGCACCAATCAATGGAAATCTTTGTTAAAAAGGGGTATTATGGTTTCATAGCCCATCCTCGCACATTCAGTGAACAGGATTACATACGTTACTGATATAATACCTTGCTGACTGTAACATTTCGATTGGGACAACAATCTCCTCACATTAATGGGTTTGAGAATTACAAGTTCAAGTATCTTGAAAAAACTCTAGCCCATTCAATAACATGGATGTTTTGTTTTCATCATTGAAGGTCTCCATCGATTCACACGACAGCTTGCTGAACTATGTTGTCATACAGCAAAGACAAATCCAACCACGCCGGTAAAGTTCCCCTTCGTTGGCGACTTCTTCCTGATGGGAGCTTTTGATGAGCCGGATCTGGCATGTCTTCCGGTTGAGAATGCACATGTGAGTTATTTGAACTCTTATGCCTCGGGGACTAAATTTAACCATCTTCCTCACAAAAAGTAAATTCTCAAAGCTCTCGGCTTGTCCTATTAGTACAGTCCGCTATTATTTTCTAATTATTTCGTTTAAATGGGTTGGTGTAATTATTAGTGATGATAATAGCTCATATTTACTAATTTTTTGCTAACCTAATTGTTTATTTACAAATCTCGAGACCCAACTTCACAATGAGAACTTGAATCAGAGGTAGAGAAAGGTTTCTGGGAGCCCGCGGAAACCCAATCACCACTGAAATTCCTGTCATTTTTTGATGGTGAAGCACCGCTATAAGACAATAGCCTGGTGAAAGAGAATTTTATTGCTTTCTTAATGAACTAATGAAATGACTCGATTCTTTTCCGATTTTGCGTACCATATGATGACTGCTTTCGTAACACCCCCAAGACAAAATCTTCGTTTAGCAAGCTCTTGACATGATTTAGATCTAGTGATGATTGCCTTGCGATTGTCAGGTTTGCGTGAGTGTGTGAGCGTACATTTAGCATGTTCACTTCGATCTTGGTGAATAACTCACAAATGGACAAGTATTGTTGCGTTGTATTCTCCATGAAAACATGCATCTTTTATTCATGTAGTTGTTAAATAACCAAAAAGGTTGTCCTGAATATTCCCCAACCTTAAATTCTCTCATGGGTTAGAATTCCTTAAGAGCTACTAAGTGTCTAAACTACTTTAACCTATCACTTCATTACAGGTGGAGAAGTATGCAATGCTGATGTATTCAGCTTCAGGTTCACAGCCGCATATCCACAGTCTCTGTCACTATTTACCTCTCGAATGGCTTAAATCCCGGCGTGCATGGCCACCAGGAAATTATCTTCTGCCAATTGGCAAACGTGGTGAATATTTTCCAGCGCTGGAATCCAGAATTAAATTCCCCTGTCCTCCTGGTTTCCACCGCATCATGCATGCATACGCAACTCACGAGGGAGAATTCCCAACAGATGCCAATGAGAAGCTGATCGGCTCCGAAGTTAATATTCAGTTTTGCCAACGAAACTCTTGGGAAGTTGTGAGTGAAGATGATGCAATTTGGCCGAAAGGAGATTACTGTATCATTGTGAGTGGAGCTATTTGTCCTAAAGAAATGAGTGAGTCATCATCATTTACGGATAACTTTCGAAGTGATTATTATGATTAAAACTGACTTGTTCTTCTACAGGAGCCTCCAATGAGCTAGTAATGCGTGTGCCACGTAGTATCCTAGTTGCAATCCATAATGTCACTGATTATGGCGAGATAATTGACGGCCAAACTATTGTTTTGGGAAATCATCATCGTAATGTGACCTATTATTCAGTTTGCTGCAGAGAAGATAAGCAACTTTTGGTTGACTTGCCACATTCCGGGGGAATGTATCTCCCAAAGGGTTCAAGCGTGTGCTCAAGCATTCCTGGCACTTACATTGAACACGAACACGTCAGTTACTACTTAAATGTACTAAGTAGTTACTTTTTAAATTTTCTACAACCTTTATTTTATTCAGGTTACAACATTCTTGGACCCAACACTTCTTGATCCATATATCTATGAATATTCAACCGAGGTGGATGAAAATCGTCGTACACAACAATCAAGACAACAGCGATGGGTTCCTCGACCATTTGACGCTCCAGGTATAATGATACTTTGTTATTACCACGAAATGAAGAAGATGAACACCTCTAATGGTACTCAAAAAGGCAATTCGCTGGAGGAATTATTCCACGCTGGAACCACAGAACTATCAACTTGGTTGGCTGGTAAGCTGCATACACGTAGAGTAGAGACACTTCACCCTTTCTGCTATCGTTTTGTATACTACTTTGCTTCTTTCTGTTTAAGATGAATGCGGATGTGCTAAGAATGCGTTTTGCAAACCTTTCAAACGATTCACCTGTCAATGTAAGAAGGGTTTCTTCGGTGATGGAATTCGTACTTGTATGCCTGTTACACCCTTGACGGATGCTTGCGCAAATCTTTGCCATCGTCATGCCGAATGTGAGAGCCTTCGGCCTCACGCCTACATTCCTATCCTTGTGCGTTTTTACTTTACTAATTCCAGAATAACAAAATGCGGTATTGTGATAATCCGAATGTATTCCATTTGCAGACGGTGGATACGGTGTGCAAGTGCAAGAAAGGATTCGTGGGTGACGGTTTTCACTGTATTCCACAATGCAGTGCTTACACATGCCAACCATATAGCAGATGCAGAATTAAGAACGGAGGTAATTGGTTTGTGAAGAGGTAAAATGTTTGAATGACAACGAAGTGTATTAACATCTGACCATTTTTCTTACTAACATTAGAACCCATATGTGTTTGTGTTCCCGGAACAATTGAGGATGGAGAGAAGTGCCATTTTGATATCTATTCAAGCGTGCAGGCGGAGAAGGATTTGCCACAGTACATGCTTCAGCATCTCGCCTGTTTCACAGAAGATGTATTCAAGTCTTTGGTTATGCAACAACCGAAACGATACTTCCTGCTTTTTGCACCACCCCAAGTAAGCAAGAATCTACCACTTGAATATTCTAAAAATGCAACTTTTACTGGACTGTGTGAGCATTAGTACGGGAATTGTTCTGCAGCTAAGTGAATGACAAGTTTGAAAATGGTCGCGTTATTTCTTACCTTGACTGAAGGGATTTGCGGCTATTTGGAACACAAAAATAACAACACAGATACTAAAAAGAGTGATTCGTGTCTTGAGCCATGAACATGGACATAATGAATAATAAGCGAGAAGCTTCTGTCCTCTAAAACTGATTGGTCCAATCAAAGACCAAAGAAGACCACTCTTTTCAATGGAGTGCACTCATGAACACCCCACTCGTAACCACTAACTTTGTAGATGGGCATTTAAACAATCACCTACTCAAGTGCAATAAAATAAGTGATCAAAACATGAGGCAAACTGCTTCTGTACCATGTGGTTTCGATACTGGATCTGTTGCCTTTCAAAGTATATTCGCAGGTATATAGGAGATTCTAAGGCCCCAGCTCACTGTCGTTTGTTGAAGCTCATAGGCATTCTACAAGTGAATCATTACAACTTCCAAATGATTCATTGTTTTCAAGATAAGCGGCATTTGGTCTTGCCAAAATTTCTTTGTTTATGCAAACAGTCGCAATGACTCATATGTTGAGTTACTTAATGAAATCATCAGAAGTAGCAACTATTAGCATATCTCAAAGGAAACCTTCTTAACAGCTTTGCCTACAATGTAAATGGAAATTATTGATTTTGTTAAGGTCAAGAGTTCAGTCATAAATAAGGACAAATTTAGTGTAATCAGCGGAATGTGAAGTGAAGACAGTATTGGTTTAGTGAAAGTTAAGAATTTGAAACGAGCTTAGACTACATGGTTGCTGCACCCAAGAAATCGATCTGATAGCTGCACAAAAATAGGAAGGTTAGGAAAGAATCCAGAGTATGCATAAAAATATCTTCTTTTGAGCCTCGAAATCTTCTATCCAGAGGCAAGATAGAACAAGGCGAAACTCTAATAAGAAACGTCCAATTAATTTAGGGACCCGAGGGTACGCTTAAAGGGTTTACACTTGGAAGTACTCTGTGGAAAGCGCATATTTGGGTTCAAAGTATATGCAGGAGTAGAATCGAAGTTCTTATTTCTTGATTCGCAGCCTCTTTGGCCACTCAACCCTTGTATTGAACCTTGGAGCTTGAGATATATAAGTTGGTTCTTGATGGTCTATACAATTTTGTAAACTCCTGAAAACATATATATATATATTTGTACATCTCCACAGGGAGTCTCACTAAGAAGTGTTAAATTAATTGGCAATATTTTCATAATTTGAACACAAGATTAGTTTTTCCTCTTCATATTGCAGTTGCTGAAAACTTGTGAGGAAATTTTGTCCCATATTGCAATGCTGTCGAGTGAATCGGAGTATAACCATTTCCTGAATGCCACTGTATATCATCTCACCTCTCTTAACGGTACTCTTATCACTGTCAATCAAACGGTAGGTGATACAGACTTGATTGCATATCTTTGCATTCAATTGTGTTCTAATTTTGGCGTCATTATTTCCTTATATAGGAAACGCTAAGGATTAATGATATGGAAATTAAAGACAAACCCATTATCTTTACAAATGGCAGAATCTACTATACACCTGCTATATTTGAATACATTCCGGTAAGTAGAGCTTCTTGAATGAAGAGGTGACATGCAATCGAGCATTTTCATCGAATTTACTCTTGAATACCCATCCTCCCATCCCCCCTCCCACCCTTCACGCCTTCTTCGCCCACGTTTTTTAGGCTCCAACTTATTCATCCGCCAGCATAGCCGGCATCGTGGTCTCTCTCTTGCTTATCTTCCTACTTCTCGTAATTGTTGGGCTCTTCTACCTTCGACGTCGCAGACCTGATTTGGCCATTTTTAACCTACGAAGACCTGTGAGTATTTGAACTTGTCATTTTGGACATGCGTAATCGAATGAAGCTTTAAACCCTTTAAAGAACGCCCTTTCAATGGAGATCATTGCACATGTGAATTTGAGGCAATAAGTTAATAAATATATGTTTATGGAGCTAATACGGCATTCGTAGTAGTTGACAAGTCTGTACGACAGTTTGGTAAAAATGTGGACAGTGTGTCCATGTCTCTCACCTCAGGGAAAAAAATATATGTATGTGGAAGCTTTCCATTGACCATCTCTTTTTGGCGTTTTATCGATTCAGATCTTTGTCTACTTCCGCAACATCCTCTTGTCTTATGATTCAAATACAATTTTTGCACTGTTTCTCCATTTTCTCTCTCAATTTTTACGTATTTTCATATTTCCGAAAAAATATCATTTATTTTTTGTAGGGAAATACCTCCATCTTACATTTCTTTCGATTTGATACAATCGGTCATTTCCATTATTAATTTCTTGAACTGATGAGTTTTAAAATAATTACTATGCTGACGCTTTGTTCAACCTAACATTGATAATTAATTTATAGGATTAACCATATTGCATATTATTGAAATATCATTTTATTGGCTGTCACCATCTAAACTCGAATGTTTATTTAGTGGTCTGACATAAAGTAAGAGTATCTGGCATTTTGATTCATTCTACTACAAAGGTTAGCTAGCAAGAGTTTACTACACTTGTCGTGATCTTAAGACAATTCAGACAAGAATGGAACTAGCTCACTGTTAGTAGCGTAATAAAGACTCATTCCCCAAGCACCGTATTCAAGTCACTAAGGCAGTCTCGTTAGGCTTCTAGCTTTCCAACTGGTTGAGACAAATTAAAAAATAATATAGTAACTGACCCTGTTGAAGTTCATTTATATGATTAAATTTATCCACTGAGAACGCATTTAAATCTGTGACAAATAGGCAATCTGTCACCACATAAATTTTCAAGCTCTTCCATTTTCAAATCTCTCTGTAACTATAAGATTTGTCTTTTTCCAATACTTTCAGCAATTCCAACGTGTGAATCTTGGCGTGCGGAATGCAAGTTGGCGGGAATCCAAGGGCGTGTTACTAGCTTCTGAAGATGCTGATGAATAATTTGTAACACTCTCACCGTTTCTTCTACATCTATCATCAACTTTCTTGCCCATCTTATAAAAAACACTTTTTTTGTAACAAGTACATTCAATTCACGTGATTTGCCCTGTGCAGTTCCTTCATTTGCTCAACCCTCTCCTATCCAGAATTGTTATTTAACGCATATTTAATGGTAGTATATGTCTTCAGTTTTGAAATACATTGGGGATTGATAATGGGAACACCTAGATTGATAAATGAAGTAGAATGTCTTCCATCAGTGATTGGTTCGAAGGTGGGGAATCCACATTTCGAAGGTGGACTCAATTTCGACCATTCACCTTAGTAATATGCGGGAGGCCGCTACTCATAGCTACTAATTTGGACAAAAATTCGATAATAGGTTATATATTGCAGCAGTTATATGAAGAGAGTTTCTATTCATAAAATATTTGTGACTAAACCATTATTTATTTACAGCTAATTACCATGATTTACCATAGTGTTACTGTGGGTTATTCCTTTTGCCTTCACTGTTCAAACAGGGCGAATGAAGCAACAGATGGTGAAAATAGCCATCTAACTGATATTCGACAGTGGACTAAGAAGATTATGAGGTCTATTGGCATTGGCGGTTATCCTGAATGAAGTGGAAAAAGTTTGTGCTTGTTATTAGAATTAAGAGGGGACAGAAGTAAGAAATGACGATCGAGTGAACGTGGATCTCTACAGTTCAATGAGTGAAAGGCTTTTACAATGACACATGTCATGGAAGCAGAGACCTAGAAATGATAGCTGACGTAAAACGCAATCGATTTAATCATTCAGATAATAGATAAACCACTTGTCGTCTCGTAGTAATTCTGCATGGGGACTTGAGATCAAATTTCTATATCGATGGAGATGAGACTCGGTGAGAAAGAAGGGATAAATCTAAATTCGGGATTACTTCAATAAATTTGAGGATTTGCAAATATCTAGAGTGTCTTAGAGGCAAACCATATCCACCTTCTCCCAACAAGTATTATGTTTACGAGTTCATTTTAGCTGCAGAAGAAAAATGTAGTTATAGCAAATATCGTGGATGGGGGGCCCACTTTCTCATAGAAACAATGAGAGTTATGATGAAAAAGGGAAGGAATATATAATTTCAAAATACTTTAATTTCAGTAGTTGTAGTAGAGTATGCAGTGAAGGTAGCTGGCTAAATATATCACAATGGAGAAGCAGTAAACAAAAATATCGTCTTTTTAATCAATAGGAAAGTCAGGATATGGACAGTGCTCTCTCTGGATTTCTACTTATCATCACCCCTAAAAGTATAATAGAAAGTGTTACTTATGCATATTAAGTAGGTTGAATATGTGACTAATAAACTTACAATTCAAGTGTAATGGGATCAGCAAGACTATCAAGCCTAGAGTTGAACTCGATGTCAAATGGGTTGTCGTCCCCATCATTGTATCTGTTGAGTCCACTATGCCAGGATCCAGCTGGGGTGGTATTCATACTTTTGCTAATTCGACGTTTCGCCTCCTTCATGGTTTTATGTTGGGCTGTTAAGGAGTGGAGACGAAAATGAAGTCGGGCCTCCAGACTATACTTACTGTAAGTCCTATAAAAGATACAGACAATGAGGAGGTATTGCGTCTGACTTTCAATGTTCAATGGCTATAGATCCCAGGTTATATTTGTCAAGTATCGATAGACTTAAGAAGACAGGGGCATTATTAACATATATAATATGGGTATTGGAAAGAAAATTCATCCAAAAGGTTTTATATATAAAAGGACTGGAATATCTTAATCTATTTTATTACCAGCAATAGAAAAATATGACAAAATTGACGGGGTGCCACGAAAGATTGGCCGACTATTCGGCCAGAAAAGCGGTTTGATTATTTATGTCTGACTGCTCGAAATGGGAGGACATGGTAGCACTGATTGAGCTCAAGTTCTGTACGCATGACACTGAATATCATAATTTTAGGGTGTGTCAGATATAGGTTTATAAACGCGTTAGAAACAAACTGAAGTTTATGTTAAAGCCCATAGTGGATCAGCGGTGAATTGGTAATGAGAGATTAGTGTGATCTTTGGCTAGATCAGGCTACTTAGTCATCAATCGTTATAGCATCTGGTGGAGGGAAAGTGGGAAATGGCTATCTGCTCTCGTCTTTTGGAGCTTTAATTATATCTTTCATACGAATTTATTGACTTTATCCTCTTTCACAGTTATTTCCCTTGCCCATATATTGTGAGTAAATAAAGACCAATCTAGACTAAACTGCAATACACTTCCGGTAAAATTAACTGAAACTTAGTGATAAGAGTCAGCATAGGAACGATTCACTAATAGGCAAAACAAGCCTCTGAGTGAGAGTGCGCAGGCACTAGTTGCGTTTTCGATCATAATGGTTAACGAAATATCCGTTTTGTTGACGGCTATACGTGAGAGGTCTTTAATTGGGGTTTGGTGAATACAGCTACGCGAAATAATGACCAATGAAATGTAGCCATAGTTACTGGGATTCTACTGTAATTTGTTCCGTTGAGGATCCTGCCAAATATAATGAGTCAAATAAAATATCAAACTAGACTAAAACGAGGATTCTGAGAAACAGATAGACTTCGATTTTTTGCAAATTACTGCAAAAAATGGATGGTGATATACATGGTTATATAAAATGACCACTTGTGACGGAGAATTCAAGCCGGCATCGCGTTATAGGAACCAAGTTCAGATATGCTTGAATATGAAGTGTGTACACAATATCTTATCCCCACTGGCCTTTCGACTTCGCACAAATATTGAAGTGCCATTCAGCATCTTTTCATAAGTCCGTCGAAGGTAATGAATTTTATGACCTGTCCTAAATTTAGGACATTGGGTTTGTTCAAGGCATTCTCCATTGTTTATGAGCCTGCAAAAAATTATGTGAAACGGATACCCGCGATGAGCCCCTTTTGAACCTGCTGAAAGGAAGCGAACACTTTTCATGCTCCCCGGTACTAGTGACCCTGACATGATGGGTAACAAAGCGGTATCAAATTTTGCAGCCAGGAAAGATTTTCAACTTTGTAAACATTCTTCCATTTTGGGGATCTAACATAATTGGATACACTACCCATTTGCTACCACTCTACGATACAAATCAACAATTCTTTTCAGCCAATTAACCGTTTCCTAAGATGATTCCTGAATTAGAAAATAGTATTTAAGGTGTGTGGATGATCAAATCCGAATACACTTCAAAGCCAGACTGTTACCAAGTATGAATGTAGTGTTAACGTACCAAGCCTTATCAAGGTGAGTTTTAGCTTCATCAAGATCTCCTTCTTCCATAGCGATTTGACACAACTCAACTTCACTGAAGGGCAGTACATATCTGTCCAATTTTATTGATTTTTCACTGAAATTCAAAATAATGCTTAATTGCGAATGTGAATAGTAAGCAGTTACTGTTTGAATTATTCTTAGACTAACTTCATTATGACCTCAGTGAAACACATTTTGGCCTGAAAATTTTTTTTCAGACATCGCAAACAGACTCCTTTGAGTAGGGTGGCGACACTGAAGTCTTCGGTGAAGTTGGTAATCTTATCTAGAAAAGATGGAGCAACCTTGAATAAATGTTCACACTACTCAACAAGTTATCTTGAGAAAGACTAAACATACTTTGACTTGCAACGAGACTGTGGATCTTGGACTCGATTATGAGAAGGAATTTATTCAGCAAAGTAGTGTTATTGCTTATGACTTTAAAGCCATTCCAGAGATACATGAGCTCCTAGATTACCAGAATAAGAAGGAGATTTAGAAGAAATATCAGATGCAGAAGGTGGCATTGAGCATTGAGAGTTAGACGTACCAAACCAGGTAAAGTGAGTCGATTGCCTTGTTCAAAGTATCTCACAGCTTTTTTCATGGCGAACTTCTCAATCGGCAGGGACTTTCCTGCTATCCGTTGGATCATTTGAGGAACACTTCTGAAATATTAATGGCGTTGTTTGAACAAAGACAAAATACAAGCACATAAAAATAAGATATAATAAAAGGAATGGTTGATTAAAGAGAAGACAGTGCCGGTGATATTCGGTGAGACCATATCAACAGGTTTGATATTGAATCTCACACTTAATCTCTACGTACGATAATTTTGACACAATTTAACTTCAATATACAAGTTATAGTTCAAGTGCTCCAGAAAGTTTCTTAGTTTATTTATATTTTTTTGATAATGATTAGATTAGATGATCAAATGAGTTTCGATTTGAATTTAATGACCAAGTGCCATAACAAATTGTCCCTAAATAGGTACATTTTCGATAAATCAGCTATATGCTGCTTCGTTTTGTTTGCTGAAATAAAATCTCAAAAATAAGAGTAATGAATTTGATAACTAATAGTTAAAGACGATTGTTTATAATAGACGAGTGATTGATGATTGATGTCCGTCTATGAGCAACATGGTCAACTCTATTGAATGGATTCGCAATACGTTGATGTTATTTATTTTCAATAATTTAAAACTCCCCCCCCCCCCATTGAATTGAGTCTATACTTTTTTTCCTTGTCCGCAATGCATGATACAAATGTCAGCTGACCATTTTATATCGATCTAGTGGATTGTGTAAAAATGTCAATTTCGCGACACCATTGTTCCATCGGGGCCTACGTGTTTCAGCAAACAAACCCAATTTTTTCGTGTGTGATATCAATTAGTGAACTAGCTTTCTATAAATTTGTTGAATTAATATCATGATATTTGTGGAAAATGTTTGCTCTTTAATGACTTTTAGTACTTAATGGTGGCGGTATTTGGATTGAGGAGGGGGGGGGGGTTGTACATTTGCAGTAAATATTTAATTATCGTGGTAATCAAAAGTTTGGTTTACACCTTTTATAAAGTTTAGAACTAAATGGATGTTAAAAGCTTCTTAATTATGAAATAACTGATAAAATGGATCAAGTAATTTGGAATGTAAATATACAAGTTAATTGTAGTGAATAAAAATTGTTCTTGTTGGTTTCGTATATCAAAATTTTCTAACAATAATTTTAAATGGTGGAAAAATTAATTTAAATTTGAAAGAAAAAATATTACATTATGAATTCTTGGTCAGCAGGCTTCCAGAAAAGCTTAGTGAAGATGAATGGCTTCACAGAAAAACGCCGCAATGATTGTAAAATATTCCTTTTAAGAAAATTGACATTGAAATTCAACCGTGGAAAAGTACAACAAAAGGTGTTTGAATTATTACCAATCACTAAACGACCACATTAAGTAAGAATTAAACCTCCAACCCACAATTTTGGCCTAGTGCGGTATTGAGCTTTGGCACACCATCATTGTTCAATTTTTTCACTTTAGAATACGCATGTGGCTTAAATCTCCCTTGGTTCTCACTTGTTGCAGATTTTACGCTAATTAAGTAGGATTCATTTCAGTACCATTGGCTTATTTTTCTCCATACTCTAAGCCATACTCTACTATCGTTAATAAATCCATATTTAGACCCCCCTTCCTGCACAAGAGACGTGATCTAAAATATCAATTATTCAAACAAAATGAAGGAGGCTTTGGGCGCCAAACTCGAAATGAATTACAGGAACCAAACAATCTCATTGGCTCAATTTACTTTTTTTGTGAGGAATTCTTGCTTCCTTCGTTCACTAAGGTATACGTGGGTAATTAAATTAGTGTGCACTATTGGCTAGCAAAAGATTTTTGTACAATATCAAAACATTTTACTTTTCACAACTCCGACGCCCTTAAGTACACAAGTACTCAAAAAGAATTATCACTCTTTAAAGCACTTATAGCAAGATACCCGAAGGAAGTTAATTCTGAATCGTAATAACGAATTAAATTGAATCTTTCAATCGATTACTCAGAAAACAAAAAAGTAATCACAATATTTTAATTTGGCTTTTTGTACACTCATTTAATCAGAATATTGACCTACATTCAAACTGTCTAGTAAGAGGATACAGTGGTAAGCACATAACGTGCTTCTTGACTAGCAGTTTCGGCTGTCTTAATTTTTGAACATTATAAAATTACAAGCAGAATAGGTATAAAAATGGTTATATATCATATAACATCCTATATATATATATATATATATATATATATATAATAAAAATCAGCACTAAGTATGAAAATGGAACTACGCTAGACGGCCGACTGAATGAAACAAAGGTTAGTTTATATGACTCAAATAAGAAAATACGGACAGCCACTCATTAATTAGATTGAAAGCCTTGTCGTGTGAGTAGTTAGTGCACTAGTTTCCTCCATCTAAACTGTGGCATCCAGGCCTTAAGAGTTTGGTCACAAGACCAAATGTATCTCGTATGCCCGTTTGACTAACATGCTGCGAAGCGTTCTAGTATGAAACCATATGGGTTTATTTTACACGATCAATAATTCTCAATAGAATTAAACTTCATTCTTGTAAATCAAGAACAAAGTGATTGGACTAATCAGGAAGAGCCACCATTATTGATCCCGTATTCCCTTTTATGGCACTATGCCTGAATGGGACCAAGTAGAACAGCGATCATAAGTGAAGAGGCCAGATAGCACAGGATATAAAAGAATCGATTTGCCACCTACGTACTATGCGCCCTTTTAGTCAACTAAGATAGATATCGAATTAAGGGGAGGTTTTTTGATGGTTAATTCCCAAAAAACAATAATCTAGAGTAGACTAACTCAAGAAGTTCATCGACATGGTGACACAGAGTTCCCCCATCAGCGTAGTCTTTGGGATCGGTCTCGATGGGAACTGCGGTGGAGGGGTTACTGGCATTGTCGGAGAGACTAGCTCTTTGTTCATCGTCCAAAAATTGAATTATAAAGGCGGCTTTGAGGTACCGGTAGGTAGCGTGGCTCCATTTACTTTCACAGGACAGCCTCTCCGCGTATTTCATTGCATCCATCCATTCACCTTGAACGCTAATTAAAAATCGATATGCCATTCAAAAACCTTTGAGTTTAGTAACAAGTTTGGCTAAAGAACATTTATTCATTCTACTTATTAAATTAGGTAGACTCAATTCAATCAAGTAGAAACATATAACATACTTTCCATTGTTAATGCTTCATTTGATTCGTGTGGAAGCTGTTCCTATCTTAATTATCTTAAATGTTATAAGCACTGAATTTCAAATGTCTGCGTCATCTAACTACTTCTCATCTAAGTCTTCCACCTGTAGTAAGAACACTCTTTACAGGAAATAAAATATACATTTCAAAGTCTTAAGAGTGTTAATATGCTAAACTCATTACTTACCAATGACACCACATCAATTCCCAATAGCAAATATGATGGAAATTGATAAAGTCGGACTGAGCGGAAATGGACTTGAAAAAGTAATCCTTGGCCTAGTTACAAAAAAGGACGTTATTTCAGTTTGTTGAACATAAGTATTTCAGGATGTGTTTGCTTTAAAAGTAGTGCTGTCTTTCAGAATGAAATGGCTAACCCCAAAATATCACATTTTAAACTTGGCTCAATTGGCTTTTTTACATCGTCTCCATTGTTGTGCATACCCTTTAAGGTGCCCTTTCAGTTGTGGAAACCACAACACGTCTGAGGGAGCTAAGTCAAGACGATAAGGAGGACGTGGAAGTGTTTCTCATCGACCTTCGGTCAACAGGGCCCCTACATATCCTGAAGAATGTGCAAAAGCATTGCCATGATGAAACAAAATGTAACTCAGCAGTTTCCGCACCGTTTATTTTAGCGAGGGATGTTTTCAAATTCTTTATAAATTAAGTGACCGTTTTCCGTTCCTCTTGAAAAGCCATCATTATCATTCCTTTTGAATCCTTTTTAAAGGACCTTTCAATTTTGAACTTGACAGGCCCAGACGTTCCCTTTGGATGCCACTCTTATGGTTGGATTTTATTTCATGGATCAAATTAGTAGATTCAGGTTTTGTCTCTGGTAACACAGCGCTTAAAATATTATTCTCATTTGCTTCCATTTTTGCCAAAGTTAAGCTCTTTAGATCAGTTGCTGTACCTGCAACTCTTTTGGAACTCACTGTGCTCACCGAGAGCTTGCTCAAGCCAAGATTTTCAGTGAGAATTGAAAATGTTAATTTGCGTGCACTTTCTATTTTATTAGCAATTTCCTCAATGGTAACTCGTCCATCTTGAACAAGAGAGTTGTTTTCTTGATATCTTGCTGAATTAGGTTTCCCTCTTCGTGGATCGTCATCAAGTTGCGCTCTCCTCTCTTTAAAGAGTTTAATACAATCATAATTGACTTCTATACATGGCGCAGGATCCACACAAAGCCCTTTGTGTTCTGAAAGGGTTCCCAATTAAGTTGAGTTACAAATTTCATGTTTACTCTGATCTCAAAATTTGCAATTTGAAGGGTTGAATATTGCAAGCAGTTTTGAGATGCAACCTGTATTGATCCTGACCTTACATAAAATTTTCAGGCGGTTGAATGTTATTAAAGAAGACATGCTTGAAATTGGAAAAAAACTAGTAAAGTTTTGCACAATTTGAAGTTAAGGCAGTTGACTGAGAAGATTTGACTCACCGTCGTAAATGAAATTAAATTTCTGCTAAGCCAAAAACTGAAAGCTTTTGTCTAACATAATTTCGATTTAATACTGCCCGGGACACATCGCTAAGATGGCTGAACCCAAGACTCCCATGGGCACTACTTATCCCGTAGTCATCAAGTGCGGCCGTGATGTTGATCGCCCTTGGGAGCACATAAGGTCATGAGTGTAGAGAACTCTCAACCAATCAGCAATCAATAGACGCGGCATAGTCAACGTTGCCAAAATTGTATTTAATTATTAAGCTCTGCGTCGGGTGGATACAATCCAAATAAACGTGTGTTCCACGCCATACGTTCGTCTTCTCGATACCGTTGAGGTAGTTTAGCCAACTTCGGAAGTCTTTCCATGCAAGGGGATCCTGACTTAGTGATTACTATGCATAAATCCAGACCCATTTGTGTGGCAATCCGCTAAAATAGTTTTCTCGCCATTTTAAAATTTACTGAGCCATCTCTAAACAGATTTATTTTGCTTCTCACAATTGCAAGTTGGAAGCGTATATTTCTGCGCGTAGCAATTATAAGCGTGGGAGGATAATTAAAATCGGGTACCAGCAAATAGCTCATTTAGAGATAAACTGCAGAGGATTGAAGATATGTTGAAATTAAAGTGGGGGCAACAAGAGTGCATTATTTCATTTGATTTTCAAATTGGGCTTGTAAAGCACTCGCTCAATTTCTGGCAAATGACCTCTTCACATTCAAAATTCCAGTCCCTCGATTTGTCACATTCATTGTTCAGCAAAGTCTTATCCACGATATTCAATGGTTATCAATCGGTTGACTAGATAAGGTAGTTGATCTGCTACTACTTCAAACCCCATTTTCAATATTTTAGAAAGCGGGGTGCGCGATAGACTTACCTCCACGTGGTGCACCCTGGGCAACGTTTGCTCATACGGCAAAAAAGTCTATTAACTGGCAGTTGACTACTGATTTCAAACTACCATCACCCCGCTGTATGCCATATGCGATTACTTCCACAGCACTCACCTCACCTTTTTTCACAACTTCGACTACTTCAACCGTACTCACCTCACCTTTTTTCAACCTTTGTGTCTGTCTCTTTTACATCTTTGAAATACTCTTTTGTTATGCCATATTCGAATATTTCACAGTACTCATCTCACCTTTTTCCTTTTGTGTCTGTCTCTTTTACATCTTTGAATCTCTCTTCTGCTGCCCCTCTCGAATTTTTCTCACTGTGAAGCCCGAAGTCAACTAAAGGGCTAGTGATAACCATCAAAACGCTTGCCATTCGATATAAATAAATAAATTTGTTTTAGAAAGCAGGATGTAAGGTATGAGCATGTGAAGGAGACTGCCAAAAATATGTTTACTTTTACAGAACCCACTCGACTTCATTTAAGGTGAACGCTATTAGTACTACTACTACTAAAGACACTTCCTAAATTTGTTATACCATAAAATGAAATGGTAAAAAACTTCGCATATACAATGACGGTATTCATATATCATGCGACCTGGCATCAATAAGCCAATTTGGTCAATAGAAGCAGAAATCTCGCAAGCTTATACCAACTAACCGCTATGTGACCCCAAAAGTGTGCTACAAATGCTAACTACACAACATGAATACAGACTTGTTAAGGAATTCATTAGGCGTCTGCACTTAGTTTAATAAAGTGGAATAAGGAATAAACAAATGGAGAATTCACTTCACTTATATCTCTCCCTTTCCTCACCGAAATTCTGTGTTTCAACAATGAATACTCGAAGCAATGCAAAACTCATGAGTCTTTGTCATGGTAAACATAACAAAACAAGCATCGAAGGAGATGTGCAAAGTATTAACACTGAAGCGCGGAGTAACGTCTTAATCCTTAATCCGCCGCTTAACATCTGAAGTTCCGGTATTCCAATCTAGGATTTATGGCTTATTTTTTGAGTAAATCCAAGATCTTCATATTTTGTTCGACTTTTCTTAACGTCAAAGTACTAACGGATGATGAGAGAGTCAGGTTTGCGACAAAGAATGGGTCGACAAGTGTCATTATGGCTTGCGAATCGAAAATAAAAAATGGAATCACTACGAATGAGAAACTCCTATGCAGATAGAATGGGATAGCGTTATGCCGATGGCATATAAAATTATAAAACTACAATATGCAACTGACCAATGGGAAATCACTTGTGATTTGGGCCAATCGACCTCTAAGGAAGGTGAAGAAAGCACTGTTAGGGAATTTCTCAATCCACGCGGGAAGAAGTTTTCGTGCATCTGCCAAGGCCGTTACCTCATCACCAACTACAAAAGAAGATCATTCATTTCAACCTCATCACTCACGTGTGTGTAAATAAAATCATTTCATAAGCAAAGCAGAAAGCAATGCACTATTACCAAAACATGAGCAAAGAGTAAATTAAGCGTGTTTTGATGACGTTACAAAACGATTAGCTTCCTCAATGCCATATGAGAAATAGACTTGCAAAAGTATTAGTGCGAATGTTAAAATTACTTGCAGAAGAAAGAAGAAATAGAAAAGATATTTAAGTAACGATTACTTGAATTCTTATCAGTATTGCATCTCTAATGGGCTTAATCTACGCTTCAGGTATCAAGGTGATAAAAACTAATTTCAATTGAACATTGAACATCGAATCAACATAGTAGTATTCAATTGGTATTTTCTCCTTATAAATGAAGTGTAGAGAGCATGAAGTTTATCAGTTTATCCAGTAAAAATGAATAGATTGACCTGTAGTTATTTGCAGCCCAATGTACACTGAGAGTCTAATAAGTCTGAGGTCAGATCAGAGTGAAAACTGTGAAAGGGGGGGGGGGGGGGGGGCGGGGCGTTGTCTGTCTATCTAACTACTTGTATGCAGTCTGGTGATTAACCACACATTACACCGGATGGGTGAGTGCTTAGTTAAATTGTATAATCACAATCCTTCTTCGCAAAGCATTTTGAGGGTAAGTAATTGTTAACTTTCTATGGAGATCCTGTTTACTAAGCGTATTTGAAGGTAACTTTCCACTAACAAAGCAAATGCTACGATAATACGCTTATTGCCGGTAATACGAAGTACGGGATTATCCATTTTAGTAAAAAAAGACACTGAAATCCTCAATATTCAGCAATGACAAAGATTAGTAGCCATAGAGAGACGACCGGAGAAATAAAAACAAACATTAGAATAAAAAATCCTGGTGATTAGAAAAATAAAAGTCTTTAGGCAATGCCAGAGCTATTGTGGTTGTTCACGTGCAAAAGTCAAGGAGATTAATAAAATGAAATCAAACAAAAAAGGGAAATGGTAGAGATGGGTTAATAAAGAGAGGTTAAAAGAGGAGAATTAGACTTACTGGTATGGCATGCAGTATCACCTGTGAAGATAGTGTTAAGTGCAAGAGTGCGTCAAATATCCAATATGAACAGTAAATAATTCGTAATATGTGATCTCTCATTGGTGAAAGTTACACCGATGAAGTGATTTCATGACTTCCAATGCTTTAACTCACGGTGGACAAAACAAGTTTCCCCTGTAGACAATTAAATGGTCGAGTTAGTCCCCTAAACAATTGTCTGTAGCATAGTAAGCTGTTCAGGTTTTTATTTAAGCAATTAGACTAAGCTTTTCTTGAATTAGATACATTAAAGCTCGCTTCTAGCAGTTGGTCAAATATTAACGAAATTGTGGTAGTTACGCAATGCTAACTGCGATTTGTGATTGGCTAAGAATGTGTGTGTGTGTGCGTGTGGTTAGTTAGAACCTAATCTAGCAATGTAAATGACACTACTGTAACTGCACAGACAACGACACGTAAGACTAGAACTCAAAGAAAGCGACACTTACCTGTCATTTGAGTTGCGTATAGATCATAGACGAGAATTATAAGAGCGCACAGGGGATCACGAACACCGTGTGCTATTTTGCTCCCTTCCCACAGAAGCTGTAACCCTAATTCCTAAAATGAGATTAATTCAATAAATATGAAAGTCAGAATAACATAAAGAACTCCAACTGATAAATCTTTAAAAGGACTACACTAATTGCGTGCTAAAAATTAGAACACAGACGTTAGACGGGGACCTGGGAAACAAATTCGCCTGGTCACGCTTTGGAACAACACTTGTTTCTAAAGCTACTTCTACCTCTAAAGTAGAAAGCATCCAAATGTATAAATTCAAATAAAGGTAGAACTTTCCAACTAAATTGTCCTTTCCTTCATATTTAAGTTTCTTTCACTTTTGCTTTTCGCGGTCAAATTGTGGAAAATAATAATAATAATAATGAAGGCATTGGTGCGAATGTGCTTGCCTTATTGCCTGAGAATCCGACAATTTCCAATAAGGAAAGCACTTTGGAGGGCAGCAATGACAGTAGCTAAAATATGGAGAATTTATTTCAGATTTATGTTAATAAAATTTAAAAAAAACTCGACATAAATAAGGCAACGAACTTTAAAATAGCAAAGCACAAAATGACATTTAAGTTGACACAGAAATTAAGTAGAAGACGTCGTCATTACGATACTAACTTTTTAAATTCATCATTTCATTAGGGCACTTAGCCGATTGAACTGTTTGACTTCAATTAATACTTTGTTCTAGTTTTAAACGTATGGATGAGCCTGGAGGTTGTAGATGGAACCATCATTCCACTGGGTGATGCTTTAGCCTCTGAGCACATTCCCTTCCAACCTCACTCCACCCCCCCCACCCCCCCCATAGTACAATTTCTTTATTTACTTATCACCTATTTCATTCGATACCGATTTTTTGTCCTAAATGCGATCGCTCATAAACCCTTGCAATTTTCCGAAGCTTAAAGAGAATTTAATTCGCTGTTACTTGGATTAGAGCTCGTGTTTTCTTCCTAACGCATTAAAAATATGACATCCTATTATGGTCCACACAGTTGTTAGTTATATACCAGATACTCAAGTATACTTTCTTTTTCCACAAACAACTCATAATTGCCTTGATAGACTTCTCCTTAAGCCACCAGTTTCCCACCTAATGTGGATTAGGGAGACTGAGCTATTGAACTGAAGATGAGGTTACTCAAATTGAAACCCCCATAGGCATGTGATTAGTTAAACTAGTAATGAAATAATGAGTTGATTTAGCCTCCACTTCCAAGGCCCCCCTCCCCTTCCCCCACGAGAAATAGGTAAAGAGGTATTTTGTTAAAACTTACGAGGTTAAAAGCTCCGACACCCATTAAAACACCGCATTCAAAAGAAGACCGGGTGGAGCGTCCTTCCCAATCCTTGCTCTTTTTGATTTTCCAACAGGTTCTAAAGCACAAAATGTTAGTGATAAGAATTCCTCATGTTAAATTGAAGTCAAGAATATATATAAGGAAATTGGTCCAGCAATCACGTTTTACACAAAATTTAAGCGTAATTATTTGTGAAGATAGCTTAAAGGGGTAAACCAAAGCCCGTTAATAAATGAAATAGATCTTGAAAACTGGGCATTTTACTCTCCAATTCGTATTTTGCAAGTGACCCTTAAATATATGAATTTATTAAGGTAGTAAGGAAAATAGGGTTTAGATTTTATAGGAAAGTAGCATATCCCCAAATAAGTGCAAAAAATGTCCAATTGAATCTAATCACTCATTTAGAATCTAGATCAGAAAAGATACAATTGGAATCATTGTAATTTTTCAGTCATTTTTCATAGGATATTGAGAAACCGATAAATTGTAAGCAATCGTTTCATATAAAACGACGCTTTAGTGCATTTAGTTAGGCTCATATTTTTTAAAGTTGTCAATGAGCTTTAAAATCTACCCCCCCCCATTACGATTATCAACTAAATTAGGAGGAAACGCATAGTCGATCAAGCAAAGTGAAATCTCTTGAAATTTCCTACCTTTACGCCGAATTTAACTAGTTACATCCCATGAAGGAGGGAAGACTTTTTCTCGAACTAGTTTTAGGAATTCCACCAACCCGTCATTCTAATTTCTCAAGAAGGGTGGCTTCATGAAAAAAGTGGGCAATTATTTTCGATCAATCTCGTAATCCCCTTAAGCCAAGCACGGAGTAGGAAATATAATTACCAAAACGCTAGATTTTGGCTTTAACTATGAAGTGGTCAATGAACATATAACCGAGTGCTATTCCATTTGTTTACTCTTAAAACAATGCACACTGTTTCAGTGGTTGCTTATCATCGACTCAAAGTCTTTTGATGAATCAACTAATTTTATTTATGGAATTCATAGAAATGTGTAACCTTGGTGTTGCACCCATTTACTTGCTATGCTCTATCATGCAATATGCTTATAGACAAATCAAAGTAGATATTTTAGCGTCTAGATTCAGAAGGGAAATTGAGACATGCCAAAATCCTGGCAATAATAAAGCTTGAATTTCGCTCGTTAGTGTATCGCAAAGCAAACTATGCAAACACTGAACTGTACTCATTGCCAATTAAAGGCAGTCAATAAATCAAAGCAGTGCACACATACCTGTAGCACTTGTAGCACTCGCGAAGTTTGATTGAGCTTCTGATGAGAGTCACCAGTTTCTCATCTTGGAGCACAGCTAGGAAGACCCATTGAAGGAGGCTTTCTGCATAACACAACTCCGCGTGGGCCTCCTCTATAAAATGAAACACGTATACATTTATACAGTATCACCAATATATCAACTCAAAATAATAACTTTTAATGATCATTTATCGATCCATGCATTTAAAACAAACGCTTTTTTACACATTTACGATTATCTAGATTGACGAAAAAAGATATCGCAAATCTCCAGCGAAAATAGATTTCTGTCATAAATCAATCATTTGTAAATTAAATTTAAAGTGGTAAAATTAGCCGACATTTTCGAGTATTGAAATTACACGTTTCATTAAGTAAGAGAGTCCAAAATAACAATTTTAGCGTTATTGTTATTGTCATTAAGAAACTATTAAATCCAGGAATTTTGAGACTTGTCCCTTCTTTTTACGTAATTGTCTCTTAATTCAAATGGATAGTAATTAAACGATTTATAAACAACAAGATTAAATTCTATTTTGTGATTAGTTTGAAATAAGAAACATTGCCAAAACTATATATGATCATCAAATTTCCAAATTTTTTCCTTGTATTATTAAATCATAAACAAATCAAACTTTTAAAACTAATAGAGCTTATTTGGAATAAATAAGATTGAAAGCATTGGTTTTTTAGAAAGTTCTAAATTGCATAGATTCAGTGCGTCTTAGAATTCGATCTAATTGATCCAATTGTGATGGCTATAAGTGTTCCCAACCGTCACACTGAACACATCTCAATAGGTAAGAATGAAAGAGATTATCCCAGTCCACCTACAACAATTACAGATAAATGAAACAGTTATTTGTACAAATCTATCAACAAACTTAACTAGTGAGCAGTCACTCATTACGTCAATAACAGGCACGTGGAATTTTAAGTAATGAAGTACCAAATGGTGGGAAATCATCATTCTCCAAGGATCTCAATAATGTAATTATTTTCAACTAAACTTAAAATATATTTTATTGGCGCGCTATTCTCAATAATGAAAGTTGATATGAAGAATGCGTGAAATAGAATTCGAAATAGCTGAAGAATGGGTCAATGAAATTAGTTGTCTAACAATGTACTATCTGACATTATTTGCACTATTAAGTTTCATAATTGTCACCATTAAGGCTCTACTTCCTGTTAGAGATTCAGTAAGTCAATTAGATCATTTCTTTATCCACATTAACTTCTAGTCAAAATGGCTACAACATTCAAAATGCCGTCAAAGAAAGTATTCTGAATTAGAAACACCCAAAAAACATGCTTCTTGTTAGATAATACCAATAAACAAGCAAATTCCTCTCTCCTGATTTTAAGTAGGTAAAATTCTTGTGTAGATTTTCCCATAAATAGGGAACTCTACTGAGCGTTGTTGCATCGAATGAATGGTTGTTGGTCTACTTTCTTTCGTCTTTAGTTGTAGCAAGATAGAAGTAAAGTAAGGAACTGCATTAATTGGGATTTAATTTTTAGATACTACGGCCTTGATCTCAATCATAAACAGGATTCCATGCCATGACATTTGACGTCATTGTGGAAATTATGCACCTTCAGAAGGCATAGGGAAATCAATGCTTTCCCAACTCGGAGAAGGAATCTTAGCATTCAAACTTACAGAAACTGCTTCTTCTTGAATCGTGATCAAAACTCAAAATTGTTGCACCAGTATTATAAATCAGATATTTTCTTTGTTTCCATAAAAGCACATTCATTTTAGAGAAAAATATTGAAGCATTACATGTTCAAGACAATGAATCAAATATATAAAAAGGCATTTGCCAAATAATAGTTGAATTAACAAAATTTAAACAAGAGCACTTCGGGTCCTTCAAAAATATGATTTATTTAAAGCAATGAATGACGATATTGAAGAATTTTATGTCGGAATGCGGTCAATTTAGGAAATTGCTTGATACATTTGTATAAAGATATCTACAGCATTCCACAACATCGGGTGAGTGAATCGAAATGGCCAATCATTTTGCCTAAATACCCAGAAGCTTGAAAAAATTTAGTAAATAGCCCAATCGTTTTATTAAAATCTTTAAAAATGCGTAGATAAAAGATTCCTAAGCTCTTACTTCAAGCAGTTGCGTAAACAATAATAACAAGCCCACAATTTCACAAGAAATATTTCAATTTTACTGCTTGTCAATTAAGAAGGCATAGCTAAAAATTGAGCGGCTGAATATCTACTAAAAGTCACTGAAATTAATCCATTAAGACGTCATTTGTTCATTCATTGCTTGACTAAATTAAGTAAGACTTGCAGCAGATGCAAAAGTAGTTTATAACGTAAAATAGCTTATAAAATGTGATCATTCAACGGTCGACATTCGTTTAGGCGAAGTTAAATGACAAAACGATTCTTAAAATTGGCCTTGATTTTAGAGACAGTGAAATGGATTATTGGATAAAAATGAGTGTATACCATCAGTATAACTCGCGTAGAATGCATTCCTGGCCTTGACTGTGGATTTAGCAAAATTGTCCGCGAATTTGCCCTTCCTGCGTTTCTTTAGACACACCTTCACGGCGTATTTTATATGCTTTGTCGCTTCTTCGAGATCTTTCTAAAATCAAATGAAGTCCATTAATTTATTTAAACCAAATTAGCTTATTAATTTAAGCCGCTAAACCATATTGTATTGATCTTTTTACGTGAAGTTGACAATATATCGTATATTTCGTTATTTTCATTTGGGAGATTTATGTTACAAACCAGATCCAATCTACTTGCTATTGTCTGTACAAATTCATAAATTGACCAGATACTCAAAGATCAAGTTAGAGAATATTAAATAACGCATACGAAACTAAATGCCTCAAATAAAGTATGGATTTGTATTTTCACTTAATTCCACGCACTTAATCGTACAGACACCTCGTTCACGTTTACTGGTCGATTTTGACACATTTTTGTGTTCAGATGCCAACCAGCGATTTCAACTTCCAATCTCTGGCATTTACGTGAGTTTCAATTGCAATGAAATCGGCAATGCGTTACAAAGTTGATTGCATTAATTATAGGGGTAGCAATCAATGACTAACCGATTTCAAAAAATTTTGCTTAACAAGGATCACGTTAATCTAAAAGACATAGACACCCAATATGGCACCCATGATTTTAATGACACGTCATCGCTTGAGAATTTCGTGGGTGTTAACTTAGAGCAAAGTTTGATCTCATCTTTTGCCAATCAATCGCCAAGTAAGTGCTTAGAACGCGCGTGTAATTATGTGTGGTAGCATTACGTTTAGTTCAGATTATGGGAATTTTTGATTTTCTGACATATAATAGAAGCAAAAATGGAGACCACATGACGGGATCGATCGTAAGCCCATTTTGTTGTGATCTGGCTGAGTGCTTAAATCACTTTGCTTAAGCACACCTTCAACCTGTCGATATTAGTTTCTGTCTTAACGAATGAAAAAGCACTTTTATTCATAATCTCTGATTAATCACTTATAAAATATTAAAAAACTCAAATTATCTATTTTTTTAACGAAGGATCGCATTATTACTCCTATGATATTTATTAATAAATACAATTTTATGAAGTATACTTAATGAATACTGAATCCACGAATTCCTTAACTACAAATCAATAGGAAATTTGTGCAGTTTGCTAGGCAAGAGGCAATGCAATTTCCAACTTTAAAGGAATAATTTACAACATGAAGCAAAGTATTAATTTAATTAGACAAAATAAAACTCAAAACACAGCATATAATCTGTAGCAAAACCTTTTACAAGGTTGTCAAGTAGTCCTAAATCAATTAGTGTCGATTATAAATCAATGTGTTTCTACCTAATATCAATGAAAAATGACAGACTTAAACTTTAGTCAAGTAGCAAAGGCGTAATATTTTTATATCTTCAATTAAGTTTGAAATATTCACCAATTGGACTGCATTAAGTTGAAAAAGCTTTTGCCTAACATCTTACAAAAAATTAGAATTTCGCCATAAAAAATTTAAAGTAGGAAACACCCACAAGAATTTTGCTGTGTGGTGTTTGAATTATTATTTTGTATAGAAACAATATGAGGCATAATAATTAACAAAGTGCCACGCAATATAAACGATGGTTAGAGAGCCAAGACTGTGACGTACCACTGCAGAAGTGCAGGTAGGTAAAAAGTTAAGGCAACAAATTCAATAACGAGGTACTAATCAAATCGAAAAACTACAAATGGACTGTTATATGAATTTTGATTATATGCAGCATAAGTTTAATTTATTTTTAAATACTACACTAGGCAGTTAAAAGGGAGATTGAAAATCAGTTCAACCAAACTGTCAACAGATTTTGGATTCTTAAGCTTTGCACTAACTCCTTCAAGGGTCCAAATATTTTTTTAAGGTGAAAAGCTAAATCGATATTGAAGGAAAAAATTTGCATTGATACGGGAATCCTACTCGAGCTAGTCTCTCTCAAAATAATTCTTAACTACTCGATAGGTTAGTGTGGTGAGTAGATTAAATGATTCCCAAAAAATCGCCGTGGGTTCTACCCGCGGAAATGATCTGTTAATTTCTTATCTGACGAAATTCAGTAAATATCTGAAAGGGGGGGGGTTAAATCATAGTAATAAAAAAATTCTATTTCGTAAACAAAAATCTAACTCAAATGCACAACATTACATTCTGAATATGATTAAAATTTAAGGAATATTTAAAAAGAAATATATGAAAATAAACAAATAATTTTATATTTCATCAAAAAGGAAAATGCTTACAGGTTCAAGAGTTGCTGTAGCTTGAAGATGAAGCATAGTTCCATAGGAAACAGCATGATACATACTATGATTTGCCCTAAACTTCACAATAAAAATTAGAGATATAAATGAAACTAAAATTACCATGACTTTGAGGTTGTCTTGGCTTTATTAAATTCATTCTGTAGAAACAAAGTTAAAACATGTTCAGACGCATTAATGCCCTCCATCAACGGTACCTCTTCTTCCCTTAAGAGAGAGGAAATTAATTCGAAATGAAATAGTTACCCATTTTCCCCATTCGACTGTAAAAAACAAAACAATGTGTAAACGACTTTTTAAAAGCATTTATAATCAAGATTAGTAAAGATAAAATTGGTTTATTGAAATGAGTCATTGAAACAAACTAGCAAAAAACATTATGTACAGTAGAGATCAGTTATGCCAAATATGCTAACTACAACCTTCATTAGAAAAAAGCTTAAAATAACATTGAAGCATAAATGAATATTATACTGCACTTTAATAAAAATAATTTGGAAGATCATAAAAATCCCAACTCATTTAGTTAGTAAATATTCTTTAATCTTAATTAAAAAACAAACCTAATTATCATGAGTACATTAAATACGGTATTCAAATTAATATTAAAATTCAACCCTACCTCAATCACTGACATGATTATGTAATGCCAACGGACAAAATTTTTCAAAAGCGCAACGTTTAGGCAATTTTAAGCATTGATTCACTTAAACAATTCACAAGTTTAAAGGTATAAAACTAATTTGTCTTACAAAACTTTAAAAGAATTAATATCATTTATCTTATGTTATTTGAATTTTGGTTTCAGGTTTAATTTAATTTTATTCAAATAATAACTAATTATTATTAACATTATTTTATTCAATTCGGTTTCCCATGAAAACGATCAAATTTTTACCAATATATATGCGCTTTCAATATTGCTTTTAAGTTTGTTCAAGCTATTTAACTCAGTTTAAAAAGCTGGAATTCAGAAATGGGAGGGTTATCACGCAATTGTTTACCCTTAGTTAAATTTTCTCCTAATTCTTGGAGAATTTTTTCCATTAATATATGTGCGTCTATTTCAATCACAAAACTATGGATAGCAACGAATTCGATTGTTATATCTAAATGATTTAACTGGGCAGTCATGGGAGTGAAAGTGGCATTAGTATTTTCCGGTTCTCCAGTTTCTCCCTCTTCTTAGCAGATCTTTCTTAATCGCGCACAATTAGTAACATCATACTTATCTGATTTAGCCTAAATGGCCTTGCAGTTTAAATTTATGCTTTTTAAGGCAATTTTCAATTTCGTAAGTATTTTCGGCAAGAAATTTCAGTCAAACCCAAAACTTTCTTGGCATTTTAATAAATTAATATTAGCCTGCATTTTTGTCTTCTTTCTTTCAAGCTCATCGCGGAGTCTAATTGTTCAAGAGTAATGAAACTTGGGAAAGTCTTCATAACAAGCAAATAGCGAAGCCCTCTTCTCTGAGCTCCATTTTCAATCATTGGGACCGTAGTCCTATGAAATGTTTTCGCCATGTTGTTCTCAATGATCTTCAATACTATTCGAGATTAAAAATTCTGAAAATTTACAACTTTCATCGATTTAAAGCTAAAGAGATTTAAAAAATGCATTGACGATTTGATGAGTCTATATTCATTTGACAATTGGTGACTAGGCTTGATGAAAGCACACAAATCACTTTAACTGGAAAAGCTAAGGATGATTTGACAACATGCCTTTGCTAATCAAACGCCCATCTGAAGTTATTTTAAGTAAATTTCATAAAATTTTATTTGTATTGGATGATATAAATTGCTATTTTGAAAGAAGAAATTAAAAATATCAAGTCCTTAATCTCAGTGGTATATATGGAAGCTGTCTAATTTTAGGAGACTTTATGGCATTAAAGCAGAATGTTATGATACAACAGAGCAAAATCAAGTGCAACTCTATAAAAACTCGTTTATAGATGACTGAACAAAATCCCTAAGTACGTTTATGTAACATGTAGCGGATTGCTACCTTAGTAAAGCCTGACTGACTCAGAAATCTCTATGGCAAATTCTCCAACATCTAGCTAGACTCCCAGAACCAGCTAAGCTATAGCCCAGCTATAAAGGAAACAGACATGTAGCAGCACGGAGCACGTTTATTCAATACGTATATCACGGATAAAGTGTTTACAGGAAGGAAACCAGTCATACAACATGGCGGATTTGATAAAACAAATGAGGGTCATTGAGCTGCTATTGGCTGCGTGCTCTTGTCCTCAATCAGTACGCGAAGTTGTACGGCCGCACCTCAAGCCTATGTGTACACGCATGCGATGACGTATCCCACAAACATAAGCCAACAAAGTAGACAATACCTATTTGGCTCAAGTAATTCAAGCAAAATTTAGAGAACATTTTAGGGAATTATGAGACAATATTCCAAATCGATAGCTCTATTTCCAATAGTGAAATTAAAATTCTTCCTCGGCAAATAAACTCTCTTCAAAAACAGATATTGAGAGTAGATTGAAAGGACGGGAAATATCTTATCACCGTAATGTATAAAAGATAGAAAAAAGGTAAAGTAGGAATTGTAGACAATTGGAGCAGTTGTAAACGCGTTGAATTAAGGTATCATAACTTCCATATCTGAAGGTCGTCGTGCTTTGCTTTTGATCGTGTATAACACTGTGAATCGATGCACTATTTTCGAGGATCTCTTCTCATCTAAATGGTTCTAATTGAGACGGATTTCGCTTTAACGGGTGTTCGATGCTATCTAGCGCTGTTTGGGTTCCGGCATTCGTGCTCCAATACAATGCGTACAAATTCTATGCTAATGGTAAGTTGAGTGAATTTTACCTGTCATTAGTCCTACGGGAATACAAATGAGGCTAAATTCCTTAACATAGTTTATTTTTGCACCCGATTTCAGGGCACTTCAAATTATGCTGCAAAAAGCATATTTTCAAACAATTGTAGGCAGAACGTGAAGCAAATACTTTTGTACAACGATATCAAATGCTTGTTTCTAAACATAACTAGCATTTGTAATGTTAAAGCCATGATTGTGGAATAAAACGCAAAGAAAGTCTTAATTTTACAATCATATTATCATCGAAGAGCTTAACATTAGGTATGGGAATGGTTGTACCACAACGGAATTTTTATTGGAAGCAAATTCACTTTTTACATCTGTCGACGGATAGTTATTAATTTATTTCAAATGGCAAACGTTTTGATAGTTATCATTACCCCTTTTTCTGACCTCGGACTTCACAGAAGGGAAGAACATCAGAGAGAGAGAGAGAGAGAGAGAGAGAGAAATTCGGGAGGGGGAACAGAAGAGAGATTCACAGATGTTAAGGAGACAGACGGACACAAAGACAGAGAAAAAGTAAAATGGGTACTGTGGAAGTGGTCGAATGTGACATACAGTGGGATCATGGAGGTTTGAAGTCAGAAGTCAACTGCTGATTTACAGACTTTTTTACCGTAAGAGTTTACGTTACTCGGGGTGCACATGTGGTGGTAAATCTACCGCACATCCCCTTTCAACAGAAAAGAAATATATATACATATGTATGCATTATAAATGCGCAAATAACTGACGAAATGCAGTTTTGATTTATTTCTTTCTAGCGCGCATTGGCAGCGAACGCTTTCGGACAGTAGGAAACATGGCAATATATGACTGTCATTTTTTTCCAAGACAAAAAGTAAGTCACGCGATAACCAAAAATAACATTTAATGCGTTTTGTAAATGCTTGGTAAATTAGGAGAAATCTAGGAGACACATAATTTTGGTGGCAAAATAGCCCATACAGAAGCTTAATTAACGGAACAACAATGACTAATCTTGGAATTCAATTGAATTTTCCAGAAAATAGTTGCGTTAAACCATCGAACTGCGTATTGGAAATGAGTAACTAAGATCTTATAATAATAAAGTGGGTAACATTGAAATATGCTTTTTTAAATTTTAATATCAAAATGCTCCTAGTGGAAGAGTTCCCTACCGCACAAATCCACGAGTCAATTATGAGTATTGGCCACCAGTGTACTTACAAGACGATAAGCTAAATGCGACAGTAAAAAACGGTAATCATATTTATTTATTTATATCAAATGGCAGGCGTTTTGATGGTTATCATTAGCCCTTTAGTTGACTTCAGGCTTCACAAGGG